TGGAAAGACAAACAAAGCACTTACACATTGGGTTCTACATATTATCATGTATCTAATAAAAAGTCTTCAAAGTACTTCACAGTCTTACCTTCCCTGGTATACTCATATCCATGTCTGGAAATGAGATCACACCAAAGAGTTTGCCAGTCCTCAGAAGTACGATTGTTGCAAGCATCTGCAGAGTTATTTAAGCAGAGAGACTTAAAACATCAGGATCCTTTTATGGCTCAACAGTTAGTATATGTGACTCAAATTAACACCAACTTACTTGGCCGATTCCGACACATGTTGACGATGGAAATCTGCAAAACATTCAAATCCCAAATTGAATTAGGAAACTTGCTCAATAGTACAAATGCCCTTCTGGGTGGTGTAGCTAGAGCCTGGTAGATATTTCAGATTACAGATATGGGCATATCACTGATGTAAAAATGTTTGTTTTCAGATATGATCGGTCATAACAGAGTGTGGTTTACAGAGTGTAAATATACTTTTTCTTCCAAGACAACAGCCTTCTTAGTTAATTTGGATTTTCATATTGCAGCAAAATGTATTTAAAAAAAAAAATCCATATAGGTCTAATTTCAAATTTTTGAATAGAGCTCAGAGTATTAGCCAACATATTGCATATAGTATCATATTGTTCTCCTATTTAAAAAATTAAGTACATAAAACTCAAGCACTAATTGAAACATTGTGGTACTTTACAGATACAAAAAAACCAAACGTATTTAGTATGTATAAATCATTTAATTAAAATTAACCTTCCCAAATAATGTAATAAGTTACAATTAGCCTTAGTGTATCTTCAACATTAAATTATTGATTATTCGCAGTTGTTCAAAAATCCAAAAATCAAATGTTATGTTATTAAAAATGATTTATTATTATTATTATTTAATTAATATGATTTACTCATATGCATGGGCGTAGTAGTGAGGGGGATTTGTTTCTCCCTACGTCATATTTATCAAAGTAAAGGTAAAATAGGCCAAATAAATAAACAGGACACTTCACTCTGAAACAATAAAATAAAATACCAATCCCTGTTTCTGATACCACGGCATAAAAAAGAAAAGAGTCCTACATCTTCTTTTTTGTTTTTAATTACCAAAGATTCTAGGCAAACACTGTGCACTGACTGAGGCAGTGTGAGGGGCCCAATGTGATATGTTATCATGGAGATCCAACGACTCCCCTGCTCACATTCATCATTCTGCTGCATAACAAAGTTTTCGGTAAACAGAAAAACATAGTTTAATAATAATAATAGCACTGTACAAGAAATGTAGTATCATCCCATAAAGATCACGACATGACAAGTAGGGATCATGTAGAAAACCCCTTAATTAAAAAGAAACAGGCTGAGTGTTATTACATGGGATAATAACTGATTTTTAAAAGCAGATTCTGATTTTAGTTTCGTTTTTTTTTAACTGAGTAACTCTCTCATCACTAAGATCTAAGCCTACAATTTGCATAATATATTAATTTACCTGCAAGTTGATAGATCTTATAGAAGTGTAATAAGCCCCACACTCTGTTAAGAAACAATGTGAGTTTTCCTATAGCTTCTCTTATTGATAATAATAGTCAATTGTTTGACTGGTCATGAATTTTACAGTCCATGGTCATTACTCTGAACTTTTAGATAAGTGCTGCAGCCTGTATGGGGGCATATTCATTCCGCAAACCCTGTTAAGGCTCTTCTCCCATGATGCACAAAATGTTGGAAGTGAACACATACTTCCCAGCTCAGAAAACTTTGTATTTTTCTCCGAGTCGGTCTTCTTCATACGCCCATTATAAATATCTCTTCCCTCTGCAGCTGTCATCACTGATTTACAGGTGGTCAAGAGTCCGAAATAAGACTTCCTGTGACTGTCGTTTGTACTTTTGAACCTTTACCTGTAGCTGGTGAGGACGCTTTTGTTGACAACAACGATGAAAAATGAACTGACTCCGTAAAATGCCGCCGCCAGCAGCTTCGCGACCACCGTGGAGCTGTCACCAGACGTGGCTGTCTCAGTTTGAGAGGACGCTCCTTCAGGTGTCACGTCTCCGGCGCCGAGCTCCCGTCGACGCTTGAGAAGCTGTGCCATCACTGACGTAATAACTAACCTACGACGATTAAACGGAAGCCTATGAGTTCTTACGCGCATGCGCAAAAAACATTCCTTGGCAGAAAGGGGAAGTGCAGAGATAAACATCTTTCAGTTTGCTTGCTCATGTGTTGAAGACTCTTATCTACCGAAACAGCTCTTATGTTGGCATTACTTTTGATGCATTTAACTGTTTAGTATCCATAATGTCCTCACTTTGATCGGCTTAATTATTTATCTCCCCAACATTAATCCTGGGTGACTTTCTTAACTCCTTTTCTTAAACACCTCATTAAAACATAAACAAACTAATAAGTTTGATATGCAGTGGCTGCCAGTCAAATTGACAGGTCTTTGAAGACAAACACATATTACTGAATAGCCTGCTGTCAGCTGGTTGTAAACACATAAATGATCCTTGTTTTTCTTTTCTTTTGGAGACTACTTTTTGGGCGGTGGTTGTTTAAGCTATGCTATCCACACATAAATGACAGAAGCTTGGAAGTTACAGCATACAGCATTGAGTCATTAAAACGTTGGTTAAAAAAAAAAAAAAAAGATAATTGCATGTCACTTAAAATACTGAATTGAAATGTTCCTTCAAGTGTTATCTGTATCTGATTGCCCTGCTTTGTATTTAGGTTACCTTGCATGCAACCAGCCAATCCCAGCACTCTGTGAGGAGAAAGTTTGTGTTGCTGTGACAACAGTTCACTTTGTTCCATTAGAAGGCCCACCTTGCTTACACTTTTAACATGAACATTTCTCTGCGCTTTACAACCTGCAACTAAACGTAGAATTTAGGACCCTGTAAGTCTGCTTTCCTTTCATTAAGTTGACTCAACTGGGACCTTAAGAGTAAATCAAACCCTTCTGGACAATTCTCTTCCCTCTGAAGTTTATATCACATTATCCTCGAATAGTTTAACACAGAAAGCTTCACAAGGCTTCATTGCGCTTCAAGCAATGAAGAGTCCAAAGCATGTTCATTTACACTTTAAAATCACAGTATTGATTTTAAACAACCCAACAGCCATTGGCAGAGTACATGTAACACCTCTAAAGCAATTTATTAGAACAGGGATGTTTGCAGAGAAAGTTTCACCGTCATGTGGCTCAAACAGTCCTACAAGAAAAACTGCTCCAGCCGTCTGTATCAGTGCATCACCAGCTAGTCTTTGCAGAGCACAGCATGTAAAGCTTTAAATTAAATCCATCTTGGTCACAATCCCCCCCCACCCACCCCAATGTGAAATATACCCGCTTCATTAAAAGTTCACTGGAAATGCTGACACAGGTGGCTAGAAGCACCGTTAGCTCACTTTACATTCTGTAGCTCATGATTGTTCCACAATGACTGCTGACATTTCTTTCAGAAGATTTATGCATTTGGTGCTGCTGCACAAATAAAATGAAAAAAAAAACAACAAAAAAAAAAACAGCAAACATGATTTACATAAGGGGAGAAACAATCCGCAGAGGGCTGGTGCTGATAAAAACCAAGTGCTTTGAGATCTGAAAGACATTACAGAATTTCTAAGAGCAAGATATGTCCATGGTCTGTCATTCTCACCTGGACTCAAACAATCACTTCGCAGAAGAAACTTGCCGTCTTCTTTGAGAATGGCAAGTTCATAGCATAAGAATACTTCAAACCTAAGTAACTAGCTGTGACACACACACACACACACACACACACACACACACACACACACACACACACACACACACACACACACACACACACACACACACACACACACACACACACACACACACACACACACACACACACACACACACACACACACACACACACACACACACACACACACACACACACACACACACACACACACACAACACACACACACACACACACACACACACACACACACACACACACACACACACACACACACACACACACACACACACACACACACACACACACACACACACACACACACACACACACACACACACACACACACACACACACACACACACACACACACACACACACACACACACACACACACACACACACACACACACACACACACACACACACACACACACACACACACTCTCTTTGCTTCACGTAGGTGAACCGGTTGCGATCCCCGCACCCGAGGCCGCGTGGCCCCTCGGTGCTGGCGGCGGATCGTCACTCAGAAAAACTCTCCCTCAAAATAATACAATATTTGCTTAGTGGTCCTGAAGTGAACAAAGTAGTACAGTCTGTATGACCTACAAGGACCAGCCTAAAGATATACATTGGGCCCTGGGACAGCCTGAAAACATAGGTAGCACATCTGGATCAGAGAGATACAAAGCATTACTAACAACTGGTCCACCAACAAAGGCAAGCTATCAACGGAAACAAAGTAAAAGGAAAAGAGGCATTTACTTTCACTGCACAACAAGCAGAAGAATACCAAGCTTTAGTAGGAAGTCCCTTCGTCTGGTTACCCATCTGAATTTGTGCCTCGCAAAAGGATGGGTACTCAGAGTCAGAGTAATTACACTTTAAATGCATTTTAAGCCATACTTCAGATATCTAGTACAAGATTCCTATGTAGTGTAGTGCTGCCACATCAGTGTGCATTACTGGGAGGAAAATCTCCGGTACAAAGTCTTTTCTAAGATGACCCCATAATACTGAGCTGCAGTCATGAGGGGAGAAAAGCACAAAAGCTTCAGGGGAATTAATACACACACTTCAACCTAATTGCAGAAATGCAGTAATTCAAGCAGCACATTAAAAAATAAAATCAATGAAGTATGCATAATCTTTGAAAAAAAAAAAAAAAAGGGGGGAAAAGTATGAAAACATCCCTGCTTTCATGTTTCTAAATACAAAACTTCAGTGTAACAAGAGGTCCTTTTTCTCCATTTTTTTTGTCTTTTGTTCTCCTTTAAAACGGGTAAAATTTTGTCCTCTGATGGTGTGAGTGGTAATGAGATGACAGTCTTTTTTGCCATTTAAAATCTTTTTTTTTTTTTTCTTCTTCTTTGTTTTCTTATATATTTGAAGATGTGGTAAGCATGCAAGCCTCGTAGAGGAGGGACCCGGAGGGGCTGATGGGTGGGCTGGTGGTGGAAAAGGAGCCTTTAGGCCAGAGCTGGGAAGGCCTCAGGATCATCCACGTTGGGGACTGACACTCCACCAGCCTGCTGGGACAAACGGATAACAGAACGAGTGTTAATGAAAATCACAAGGAACCTTTATATACGTTAATCAATAAGATTTGTATTATACACTGAGGTGTTATCATTTAGGTGTCCCTCCATAACCAAATAATATTACAGGATTATTAATAATATATTATAACGTGCTGTGCTCCCCCAGCCTGAGACAGAGAGAGACCGACAGCGGGAGCGTGCACATACATACGGGCAGAGAGGTAAAGAGGGAGCAAGGCAGGGAAACGCTGTGTTTCTTCTCCTCTGTCAAACCTTTTTTCTCCTCTACTGACTGGCACCTCACGTCTGCACTGCTGACATGTCCGTCAGTGTTTGTGTAGTTGTGTGCACAGCATAAAACGGCTGGTGTGTGGCAGGCGGAGATCAGCACAAAATCGACTATACTTGTGAGGACCGGCCGGTAACCAGTCAGGGCCGAGCAGGCTGAAAATGGGCAGATTTCAGTGACATATCAATCAGTGCACCTTTAATTCAAAGACAATACGGCTTTGATGCCATGTTTTCCTTCTTATAATTGTAATTTTGAACGTTGAGATTCAGTTACCTCAGTACACAACCTCAGCTCTATGCTGACATTAGGTCAGTGTGTGTGTGTGTGGGTTTAGCATTATGTGGTCACTGGTCTGTTATTTCAGGGATGTGTGTTTGGCTGCAGGTTTTCCAACTCAGTGCTTTTACAGCCTGTTCACAGTCAGTGAGCTGAAGCTTTTGTGAGAGACACTAAACCTTTATTGTTTGCAGTGACAACAGCAGTTATTGTTACCTTTTCGGAGCGTCCTCCACCACGTGCCGTCCTGCTGCCTCCCCCTCCGCGGCCTCCCCTGCCGCCACGAGCTCCCCCACGCCCGCGGCCAGGGCGGCCCAGGTCTCCAAAGTTGATCTCCAGTTGAGATGTGATGTCATTGGCTGGTTTGCGGAAGTGGTGGTCACTTGGGTCGTCAGGGTTGGCCTGCTATACAAACAACAAAATATAACATTTTTAGTATTTAGTGCTGTATTTAAACCTAATAGTTTTCCTACAGACAGAATCTAAACACTAAACATTTGAATTGCTGCAGGCACCTTGTGGAACAGAGTTGGTGGCTCTACTTCTGTCTCTGCGGTGTCGATCAAAGCTCCAACAGGCTTCTGAAATATGAACAGAAAGAGGCTTTTCATCAGTTTTACGTCAAACACACAAGGATCAGCCCCTGAAACCAAGCCTGTGCGTTCTGCAACGCTCAAAATAAATAGAAAACAGTATGGCCTTCAGGCAGTCATCTTTCAAACTATGTCTGACAAGTTGGCAGTGCTTCAGTAACCCTTGCATATCAAAGGAACAGAGTCCTGCATAGGCAACCTCCAGATTAAAAATAGACACACAATTTTTGAAAGAACGGTTTCAGTAATTGCCATTGGTTTGAAAACTGAGTGCACATTTTAAACATTTGCAGCTTCTTTGTTTGAGGAATTCTTACTTTTCTATCTCAGTATAAATGTAAAATCCTTCAGTTATTGAGTTATATACTTCAGGGATGTGATCTGCAGGAAATATCTCCCCATCACACACCCACAGGTGTACAAAAAGTAAACTAACTTATGAAATGCCCAGATATTGTGCCTAAAAGTTCACTTTCCTTTAAATATGACTTCAGAAACAAACTGTTGGTTGTAACATGAAATGGTTAAACAGTTACTGTTTAAAAGATGACACCATCAGGTACGGGGAGGGACTCTTAAAATGTATTCTTTTAAGCACCAAAAATATTTTCCCTTCATTTTCATCTTTGAAACTATTCATGTCTGATCTGTAGCATTTTAATGTTTTTTTAACAGAGGGGGTCAGGATGTAGCATGTTTCATACATACATACTAAAACATTTTACTAGCAATCCTGTCATCACACCAGGTTAGTGAAGAGAGGCTTGTAGAAGAATAACATCTACAACGAGCTGCTGACCGATTAAAATAGCATCAGAAGGTTCTGAATTGACATGAGATATTTAGCACAATCTTAGCTTTGAAAAAGCAGCAGAGAGCGCGAGGAGATCATCCGCTTGTTTAAATAGCATTTTGTTATGTTTAATGGTATTGTCAATATCATCAATATGAAGTTAAAACAGGGATCTGTAATATACAGAAAGTGATGTTTCTAAAGTGAATATAGATATTCACTGTCACAGCCTTAAACCTTTATATGTGCTTAAGTTCCTTACATTTACTCACTCTACATCTCCTGATGTCTTTACTTTATTGTGTGCTAGAAAATGAAATAAATTAATCAATTGTTTCAACTAATTAATATTATGAATTATTGTGTCTTTGATTGGTTTCTGTGGAAAATTCTAACCAACTGTGTGACGTGTGATGAATTCAAACAGGATGGTGTGCAGTGCTGGTGCAGACAGCAGCAGTGGGTAAAATAAAAAGAAACTATCTTCGGTGACAAAATGGTTGAGCTGCAGGGAACAACGGTTTGTAATTCTTGATATCAATAATCACCTCGCTAACATCTTCACTCTTGGACTTGTGCAGCACGTATCCTTTCTTCCACTGGCTGTCAGCTCCCTCGTTGGGCTTGCGGATGTTGAACTCCACTTTGGTGCGCTCCTTGTCCTGCATGGCCTTCCACTCGTCCAGGGTCATCTCTTTGGGGCCTTCGTTTTTCACTTCTTCGACCTCGTTTTCTCTAGAATGCCAGCACACAACAACGTTGGAACCTCACAGAAGTGAGCTAAAAGTGCCAATCCTCTTAGCTCCAGACATGCTCTGTAATCCTGAGGCTAAAAGGTCAGAAACAATGTTGATCCAATTTGCACCAAAGCTTTGTGACGAAAGTGCACATGCAGAGGTGCCGTTTGTGACGCAGAACAGCAACATGACGTAAAACTGGGCTGGTACTTTCTCTGGAGTAAACACACGATATGACTGAATATTAGATATCAGCTGAACCTGAACGTCTGACAGAAAATGAAGACTCACTTGTTCTCAGAGCTGGCAGGTGCATTTTCCTCTCC